ATATCCAAACGCAATCCTGCAAACATGACTGAGTACTTACTCCTCTTGGTGGTCAGCCACCCCACACCCGACGCATCCGCGCAGTTGCGCAGCTACACAGTAGTATCTTCCCTCTCCCCCTCCCCCCAAAACCCTGAAGCTGGCACAGGCAAACGAGCCTACTTGCTGTAGCTACCCCGCGCACGCCGCGCCAGCACCAGCACCAGCACCTCTTCTCTTCTCTTCCCCCGAGCAACGGAAGAAATCTTGCATTACCCTCATGCAGCCTACTGCTTGCTGTTGTTTATTTAATACCATGATGACGATGACGCGCGCGCATTTTTATGATACATCATATTATAATTTACTTTAGAATTAGAATAAGATACTAGTACCTAGTCTTTCAATGTACTTTTGGTCCATTCATGGTTTTCGTTAGATCGTTAGTTGATCTAATTGTTGGAATTTTCAATTGGAGATATATTTCAGTGGGTTAGCAGTAGGTTGCGCAACAACTTAAGTTATTTAGTACAGCATTTCAATTGATCGCTCATTCGCATCAATTAACCCTCCCCCCTGACAGTTGCAACTATATACTATCTAGAAGCCATGGTATATTGCCAGATATGCTGGCTGGTTAATGTATTCAACGTATACTGGGGTGAAGTATTTGTTGGATTTTTACGAGTGGAGTGAATAATCAAGTTTCCAAATTTGTAGTATTTGAACAATGTCAAACAGAATCGCCTGAATCGAGATTTTGATAGTAATACTAAGTAAACTGCAATGTGCAGCGACAGGTCCAGTAAACAATGAATATATCGTTATTATGTATGTGGTGGTTTGCAGGTGCTGATTTTCTTTCTTTGTTCTTGCGGGGCAGCAGGGTTCTGTTTACTTTTCCTGCGTAAGCGCTTGGGGTGCCTTGATGCTCGTGCTTAGTAGGTCCCCTCAGGCTTATCGAGGTAATGAGGGGCTGCTTACGCCCGCACCTCTTTAGTACTACCCAATATGTTAGACATGGTATCAGCATCCCTTAGTTTACTGTACAATGTATTGATCGCAAGTAGGTATACAATTCCACTAATGAGCTCTACACGCTCGAAATGGTCTAAGATGACATGACATGGTCTTTCTTTCCTATCAGATATTTCATCACTCTTCATGTACACCCCGTCTAAAACTTGAAGACCTGCTCCTTAGAGTAGCCCAGCTCCTTCAGGATACCGGACAGCTCGCCCTGGTCGGTAGGGCTGTTCTTGGTGCCACTGATGGCCTTGTACATGCCGGGAGGTCCGCAGACGAAGATCTTGATGTTCTCCTCCTTGGGCTCGGGTAGGACGGTCTTCAGGAGCTCCTTGCTGATGTAGCCCTTGCCGCCGGTCCACTCCTTGGGAGGGTTGTCCAGGACGTAGAAGGCACGGAAGCGGCGGGGATAGGTGTTCTCGAGCTCCTCGAATTCCTTCTTCAGGAGGATGTCCTCCTCCTTGACGTTACCGAACACCAGGGTGACCTTGGTCTGGTCCTCGGGGTTCTTGAAGATCTCACGCGCAAGCTGGTACATGGGGGTGATACCGGTACCACCAGCGATCAGGCAAATGTGGTTGTGCTTGTTGGTCTCCCAGGGGTACTTGACGATAGGACCCTTGAAGTCCAGGCGCTGGCCGACGTTCATGCTGTGCAGGTGCTCGGACATGGGTCCGTTGGGGTAGACCTTGACGACAAGGTCGATGTAACCGGGGGTTTCTGCGCCAAGTCAGCGAATGTCCAAAATGTGCTCGAGAGTGAGTTGCGAGGACATGCCCTCATCGCTGGTAGGGGTGTAAGGGCGAATGACAGCCTTGGCGTCGGCGGGCTTGAACTTGGTCAAGAGGGCAGCTGCAGGTTCGTGAGTAAGAAATCCGGGTGGTTCTTTCAGAGCAAGGGCGACATACAGGCAACCTGGAGGCCGGAGAGAGCCTCCTTGTCCTCGAACTCGAAGCGCAGACGCTTGGTGTTGTGGTTCAGGACCTCAATCTCGGACAGCTTCAGGTCAAACCATCCTTGGTCACCACCCTTGAAGACCTTGGGGCGGTCAACAGCAGCGGGGGCCTCAGCGGTGGCCGAGTTGTAGCGGTAGAGACCGACACCGACACCGGTGATACCAACGGCGGCGTAGATGGGAGCCAGGGAAGACTTGCCCTTGGGCGCTTCCGTGGAGTACTTGCGGAAGCCCTGGGGTAAGCCGGCATTAGCACAAAATTCGGTCGTCGGTAGAGATCGGGAAGGGCGAAAAGGGTCGGAAAATAACAGCGCTCAGGTGGAAGAGGGATAGAGCATACCTGCTTGAGGGGCTGAGCGCAGCGGAAAGCTTGACGAGCGAACATTTTGAATGAATGACAGACACCAATGCGTGCTCAATGGGTGGTGAGACGGAGAGGGAAGGTCAAGGGAGCCAGAGCGGAGGGAAGAAGGACCTTCGGCAAAGGTAATTAGTCTAAAGCTCCTCCTCCCTCTCGGACTCCGAGACGCCGTTTCCGCACATGACGCAATAGGGCCGCTCGCGTGCCTGGCGGTTTACTAATTATCAATTAACATTTGTTGAACATCTCATCTTTTTATCGTGTATTGCAGATAAGTGGATGATAGGAAATGCTATATACTGGGGTTATACATTGAACATTATAAACCGCATACCCGCCATAACATTCTCCTGGGACAACCCCCGAGGCAGCCCGATGGCCCGGTCTTATGGCGTCCCTTACAGAACGTATACTACCTGCAATATGGCCGAGCGCCAGCGGATAAATTCATACCTGGAACGAATCCAGTTTTTCTAAATACTTGACCGAATCCCTGCCTTGCTGGCATGAAGAGACGGTAGTTTAGAATGTAAATTAGTCGATTAACTGCGTATATACGCCAAATGCCAAGCAGGATTTGTTGCCCACAAACCCGTCATGCTACAGGCTAAAGCCCAATAATTGCTTAAAAATGGCACCTGATCAAGTGGATAGACTAGACACAGGTAGTGCCACCCCTATTCGGAGCAAGACGAAGTAACTGAGGCAAAAAACCATGATGTCAGGCGTGTTATGTGTATTCCCACTGCCACCCTCAACATCCGACGGATATACATGGCTAAAGCCGAGCCAGCCAAATACGCCACTGCGACTAGGCTCTCTCGACGTCCCACAAATGGCCTATAATTTGGGAACAAGAAGTAACGTTTCGACATGCTAGGCTATTTGTAGGTATCAAGAGAATAATCAGGCAAGTAATCTGGGGAAGCTGGAATAGGCGATAGAGCATACATATATCGAAAAATCCTGATTTGGGTGTTTCGAATTTAAATCAGCAGTATAGAATCAAACCCGTGTGGATCAGCAAGACCCCATGCTACGCAAAGCGTTCTACGATCTCTACAGTACGCTATGCCCCATCCAAGAATAAACAGAAACAATACCCCGGTATTTTTTGATATAACTTGAAAGGGTCGCTGCAGAGGACTTAAAGAGACATAAAAACCATCCGTCCCATTACCTGGGTTGAGGAAACACGCCCTGTCCGCGTGCTCCGTGTCCTTCGTGCATGCTATGGCCATAACATAGTCATTCATCCACACACTCCGATCACCCAAACCCAAAACGTCACATTTACGCGAAAGTAGTGGGACGAGAGTAAGCGAACAGCTTCTTGCCGTGGGCAGCACGGTGGGGCAGGGGGAACTTGAGGTTCTTGGAGAGGAGCTGCTTGATGTAGGGGCGGCGGATGCTGTCGGCGTTCTCGATCTCAACAACCTTAAGGATCTGTAGGAACGTAGTTAGATCGCAATACTCCTCGGCAAAAGAGGATAGGAATCTCAACATACGTGGATGGAGCCGAAGCGGGCACGGTGGCGGGCAGCCATGTCCTGGTAGAGAGCCTCAACAGCCTCGGTGCGGCTCATCTCACGGAACTCCTTGTACATGTTGTGGGTGCCGGAGCGGGAGTCGTAGCGGAGCCAGATACCGAAGTTCTTGACCTTGGTAGGGCGCTTCTCGCTGATCTATTGGATGGGAAAAAAGACAGGCGTCAGCCAACACTGCCGAGTTGTCGCTTGATAACGGCCACACATACCACATTGATGCTGACGATCTCACCGTTGGCCTTCTTGACCTTGCGGAGCTGGGTCAGGAAGTACCAGAACCGGGACTTAGCGACAACAGTGTTGGGCGCGAAGATGCGCATGCGGTACAGCTTGGGCGTGGGGTTAGCCTCGGTGGGCAGGTGACGCCCAATGACCTGGTACTCGGTGAGACGCCCTAAGGATCCCAGTCAGCCATGTTCTCCCATCCGATGAGAACTGCCTCGTGCAATGGCTTCAGTCGTTGCGTATATTCCGTGCGAAACGTTGTTGACTGTTGTGCAAGTTGTCGACCCTTTGCGATGATTTCATTTCTGCGCCACGATATCTTCGAAAATTTCGTCCTCCCCCATTAGTCGTCCAGAGTTGAAAAATCCTTCCATCATTCTTGTTCCCAACCGATTCCAGTCCAATTTCAATCGAGTCTTATATTATCCGATGTCGCCGAGATAAAATGATGCCGTAAAAAGTCGTTCAACGATCGCAGGGGGAATATCGCAATAGCCGATCCACCATTGAGAGACAATAAAGGTATTTTGGAAAAATTCACTCACCCATCTGGTAAATTCAGTCAGTAACAATTTCAATATGTCGATGAGCAGATCAAAAGGGTAGGGCTTACTTTGATTGTTGACGCTGTAGTGGTTAGTCGACGAGAGGTGTGCCGGCTGCTGGACTCGTCGCGGAAAGGAGGATTTTTGGAACAGTTGATTGTGAGCTAGGTTTAGCCCTGCTTAGGGCTAAGCGACCGTGTGGCTTGGTTACCCACCTTGCCTTTTTGGGAACACTAGCCACATTCATGGTGGCAGCAGTGATTAGATAAGACGGCTTCCCTGAGCGCCGCGGCGGCTTCCCCACCTTCCTCCGATCGCGTCCGCGGCTGGCTTCATGGACCTGGAACTCCTGTCAGTGACGCCGATTGTTGGTCTCTGTCGCTCGGACGTACGATCGTCGTGAATGCATGTCTGCTGCTAAACCCCTCCCCTTCTTCCCCGCCTCCTACTTCTACACGCTTTCAATCACCAGCCATGTCCAATATTTTTGATGATTTCAAGGAAGGCCAGAAGATCGGCTCTGGTGCCCGCCTGGCGGCATCTCTCTCCCCCGTCGCGACTGCGGAGTACCCCGACCGATTGAAGTCGTTCTATTACTTTTCTAACGCCGCACATGTCTCCACCGACCTCCGATACTCGCTCTTCCAGGCGAATGGCTTGAGGCTTCCCAAGCAAGAGCAGAACTCCTGGGTCGATATCTTTACCGCTTATTGGAAAGCTGTGGGGGAGATTGTTCGATTTGACGACTCCCCAAGACATGCCAGTTGGGTGAAGGTGTTCGATGCTTGGAAGGATACGGCAAATCAGTTAATCAGGGGATATTCGACAGGCAGTTTGCAAGCCTGGACAGTGCCATGCTTGTATTCTGTCGGGAGATATTTGCGGGCCTTCGCGATGAAGGCAGATGCTGAGCTTTCTGCCCAAGACTCCGTCACTTTTGACGATCGCTTCCAAGATGATGCGACAGATGCCAAGAATCCAAAGCTGGAGGAAGCTACACGAGTGCTTAACAGAATGTTCACTTTGTGTCTAAGTGACCGGTAAGCTATGTCCGGAAGCGTCGTGGTTATACCATGCTAATGTTGTCTAGGGCACCGATCGAGGAATCGCGGAAATGGGGCATCTACGACACTACAAACCTGTTGTTCAAGACATACTTCAAGCTTAACACCGTTGGCCTCTCCAAGAACTTGCTGCGGGCCCTCAATGCCTCGTCTGCAGACCTTCCTGGCTTGGAAGCCTTCCCGAAGTCCCATATTGTCACCTTTGAATACTATGTCGGTGTTATACACTTTCTGGATGAAAACTATGCCGAAGTATGTGCTTCAATCATCAATGTTAGTTGCCAGTGCTAATAGCTGGTTTCAACAGGCTGAAGAGCATCTGTCGTACGCATGGAGGATGTGCAACAAACATGCGACAAAGAATAGAGAGTCAGTACTCCACATGCCGCCCCATGCTACATTGCTGACTACTTCAAGATTGATTCTCACCTACCTCGTCCCCTGCCACCTCGTCACCACACATACCTTGCCCAGCAAAAAGCTGCTTGCACCGTTTCCTCGTCTCGAGAAGCTCTTCCGTCCATTGTGCGACTGCATCAAAAGGGGAGACCTGGGCGGGTTCGATGCCGCAATGACAGCCGGGGAGGAGGAATTTGTTAAGAGACGCATATACTTGCCCCTGGAAAGGGGACGCGATATCGCTTTACGGAACCTCTTCCGCAAGGTCTTTATTGCCGGTGGATTTGACGAGCCCAAGGAAGGACAGCCTCCTATCCGCCGCACACGGGTTCCCGTTGCCGAGTTTGCAGCGGCATTAAGGATCGGCACTCATGCTGACGATCGGTCCCGCATAGACATTGATGAGGTTGAATGTCTGTTGTCGAACCTTATCTACAAGGTGCGTGTTGAGGTGCCCGAACTCTATCAAAGCATTTGACTGACCAAAATTGTAGGGGTTGATGAAAGGATACATTGCCCGTGAGCGCGGCATGGTCGTATTGAGCAAAGGTGGAACTGCATTCCCTGGAACGGGGGTTTAATCCTGCTATCATCTGTCATCGCATCTTTGATGACAGCCTCCCCCTTTTTTTTTACACCTATCGAACAGTATCGGGCCACCAGTATGCCATGCACAAGGGCATAATCCAAGAGCCGTCAAGATCACGGCTATGGCAGGGACATCTGCGTCGCTTGCCAGCCTGTATGATATGCGCTACCACAGGTCTTTGAGCAGCTCCCATGCGGCATGTATATCCTAGATGGCGGCCTACAGGATCTATACCTCCAACGGCGCTGGTACATGAACGGACGGTATACCCCGCAGTTATGCAAGTCGTCCAGTTAGGGCTGGTGACATGCCTCAAATGCCTGCTTCAAGCTGAAATAGCTGTAATTTATACCATGATAGACCAGTTTATAGATACCACATAAATTATGAATACCTCATGACTGATACAATTTCGCATTCCTCTATTAGTCCCCATAATAGACACATTACTATACAACATCGCATCAAGCAATACATAGCATACAATAACCATCCATCTCAAACAATAAGACTATCCCAAATCCCTCCAACCCTCAAAACAAAACATAATAACAAGCCCAAACCAGCCGGGCTTCAGATATCACTAACACCTCCCTTCACCCCTCGCCGCCTCCTCAAGATCATCCTATAGTCAATCATCTGAATTAGCCACCCCGCACACATCCTCCACTTTGACAAAGGGGAAAGTGTCTAAACTCACCATATGATTACACATCGCCACAAACAAATCAAAAAACAACTTCCCTCCACGTTCCATCTCCATCTGCATCGTCCCACTCCGCTTAAACGTCCCCCGACTCCGAATAATCAGTGCCAGATAATGCGCCCGCAGTTTACTCTCGGTATCGGGAGTGTGCATGTATGCGTACCGCGCACTGCTTAGGATAATGTGGCAGGGGATGTTGGAGTGGAGGCCTTGTTTCTTCAAGGCGAGGCGCTTGAGGTGCTCGAGGGAGTATTTCTCGGCTGCGCAACTATATAGTACATTTGTTGTGTCAGAATAGGATGGGATTTTGGCTGATAGTTTGGGGAAGAGAGGGTTGACATACTATACTGCTGTGTCGCGGAGGATCTCTGCTCCTACCGCTGGATGGAAGATGATGGCGTTGGGGTCGGTGGTGTCTTTGTTATTAGTGGTCGTTCTGGTATTAGTAGACGATGTGGGGGTGGTTTCCAAGTCCCATGTGTTGGTGGTTTTGTCGTGGCGAAGACGGGGGTAGTAGTCGCCGCGGTAGAGGTATTCGAGGACGCAGGAGAAGATTTCGGGTTGTTCGTCGGGGAGGTCGATTTGTCTCATGGATTTGGTAGGGCTTGGTGAGGAGGAAGGGGAAGAAGAGGGGGAAGAGGAGGAGACATCATTGTTGGGAGGATTGCAGAGGGCTGCGAAGTAGGGCGAGACGCAGAGGATGTCTTTGTGTGCTGCGAAGAGGCGTTTGGTTGGGCCAATGGTGAGGGTTATTACGCCTTGCGAGAGGGAGGAATTGCTATTTTTTGTTGAATTGGGTCTTCTGGTTAGTGGGTGCCTTTCTTTCACTGAGGGGTTGATAGGGAAAGGGATGTAGAACCTTCCATCTGGGGGTGTGTCGGGGGTGTGTCTGCTGCGATGGAGACGTCGTGATGCGACGACAGATTGTTCGCGAGACCGGGGTTTGGCTTTTCCGGCTCGGTATCTGGAGGAGATGTTGTCTGGGTGGTGGGAATGTAGGCGTTTTGTGGAGAGTACTCTGGGGCTAGGGCGATGGAGGCCCTGCTGTTGCTGTGGTTGTTGCTGTTGGGATAGCATTGTAAGGGAGGGAATTTCGAAGGAGATGGAGATGTAACCGGGGAGAAGAATTTGACCCTGTAGATGGAAATCAGGGGTTCCTTGCGATTATAAAACTACTAGTACTGTAGGATACTCGGTGGTAGAAAGAGATGGTAAGAACTGGACAGATACATGTATGTTTGACCTCTCCTATTTGAAGTGCCTTCTTTGTCTCTGGAAAGGGGGTTGCTGAACCACAAGCACAGGCCATCCTTTCTCCTCGCAGAGGAAGGGGAACGAGGGAGGTTCCCCTGCCCTTTTATCTCCAGATCCTGGTCGATTTTGACGCATTATATATCAACTCGACCAGGATGCATGTTCATCTTTGTGCAGGAGGGGCCATGGAGAGGGGAAGAGCAGCGAACGCGTAACGGCAGGTACTGCTAGTAATGGACGCGTAAAGTGGTTTTTTGTGCATCGCCAAATCATCGCGCAGTCACGGGAGAGCCATTGGCCAATGATGGCTTCAAGGAGGGAAATTGGGAGGTGGAGACTTAAAGGCGCCAGAGCGAATCAGCCCGGCATGCTTCGTTCCGTCCACACCCGCGATCGGCGCAGAGACTCGATGCATCCAAGTGAGGGTAGGTATGGATTGTATGGCCAGGGGAAACAAGGTTCTTCCTGGTCATTACTCATGGACTAAACGCAGAAGCCATGGCTCATCACGTCCAGTTGGTGCGGATGGGCGGATTTCACCATCCGTGACTCATGGGTCCGTCTCCGGGATCATTCTGTCTGTGTCATACCGCCGTGCCTGGTTCGGGTATAGACAGGATGCATCAACAGCCGCTGCTTTCTGGAATTACACAAGACACCTTCAAGACACTTAGCATCGCATGCAGTGATCCGATTGCATCTCCTGGGGACGGCCTGTCACTGTGAGATGGTTAGTCTGGTCCTTTCTACGCTGGATGGTGTTTAACGTCTCCAAAGTTGATAGCTCCGATTCCTACCCCGCCAACACACTGGGCGGTACAACGCTGGTAGTATTATATCCTTTCAAGCATAGTAAAGAAACGTTGCCGCTATGTACAACCATGTACAGCCCAGTTCCCGTGCCTGCCCAGCCCGAGTACGCCCATACCATAACGCCTGCTTGCAAATTGTGTAACCGACGCCCATTGCGGTGTGGAGATGTGCCTGCACTTGTGATCCGCTATATCCGCTGAACTGACCCTGTCGGTTCAACTAGAGGAATACCTTTCGCGCCTCCCGAGGATGACTCTCACTCGGGCAGTAAGGGCACTTGAACCGGCTACCCTTGCACAACCGTTTGAGTGACTCCTCCGCGATAACATGCCCACAGGGCATCATCATTGGGGGATTCTCATCCGTGGTTTGCTCCTTTGACACGGGACACACAAAAATAGAATGGAAGAGATATGACGGCGGTAGCGGTATCTCAACCTATAAGGCGTACCAGTCAGTCCACGAACCGTCATGCATGCCAATCAAGGTAACTTACCGGGAGCTCATTCTCCGTGGTCCACTCGGTGCGTTTGGCTTTCATGATAGTCTGCAACTTCAACAGTGTCGGCAACGCTATCGCACCAGCCGTAGCAGCAACATATAGGGGCGAATCTGCCGACAAGCCGAGGAGCGAGCAAAACTCTCGCGTGAATGAGTGTGCCACATCGGACCATGCCGACGGGTTATTGAAAATATGATTGTACGGGGAGTCTCGCAGATTGGGGCAAAAGGCCATGGCACCCATGAGCTGCTGGACCTCGCGCAGATACCTGGGCAAGAACGTGTGGAATTCACGCCTGCCATATTCCAAAGCTGCCTGCCGTCCACCCGGACTGGGTCCTTGCTGATGCTGTCCGCCGTAGAAAAGCCAGACGAATTGCAGCCTGCACAATTCGAACTCAAGGTTACTACCTCTCGCTTCCAAGGCCTCCTTATTCTCCCTGGACCACTGTATTGCCGGCAGCAGGTTGTTGTTTTCCTTCAGCTCATGAAGGATGTGGTACATGGTGTGGAACTGTTGCCGCACCTCACCCGGCGGAACTTCATCGAGATCTAAGAGCGAGGCCGCATTGTCTATAGCCTCTATATCTCCTTCTTGCTGCTTTTTCATCGCTTTCTTTTGTGCCATTTCGTTCAGGAACTCCGACGCAACGGAAAACTGTCCTTCTCGGAGAAGGTGCATGGCGATGGCCCTGTTGATAAGGTGTTCTTGGGACGAAAGGACATCATGCTCGGTGCTCGGCAAAGGCCGATCTTTGAATAGCTGCGACAGTGAAGTAGTTAACATATGCCATTCACCGTAAGAGACTGACGCGTGCTACCTTATCTAACGATTTGGAGTATTTGTTGAGACCACTGTGTGTTTCTTTTAGACTATCGTTGATGGAATCAAAAGACGATTTGACGGGATTCTGGAGCTTAGCCAGTGTAATGGATGCTTGACTGGGATCTGGGATTGTCCTCGTGATCAGTATAGTTCCAGGATCAAGCCCGCGCAACGTCCGACGAGGCACACGCACCTGCAGCAATTGCATCTCGTGCCGACTGAAGTAAATCTATGGTAGACTGCACGTTCTTAATTCCTTGACCGGCCTTGATCTTCTTGGAAAGCCGGTCGTGCTCCTTCTGCACCAGCTCCATGACGGGGCAGACGGGAAAGCGGTGTCCGACAGTTACCGCACCTTCACTTAAGCAATCGTTGCAGCCATATGTAGGTGAGCCTGGTGATTGTGCTGCTCACCGCAAGATCTGTTATGAGAAGGTCAAGATCAACAACGAACTCGTGAGGGAGATACTCGAATGGAATAGAGTCGGCTTCTTCTTCAGGTCATCGGAGCATGGGCAGGTGAGGAGGAGAACGGAGCGGCAACCAGCCCAATTACGACATGAACCATCACGTGCAACTATCCGGGTGCCCCGCCCGCGGCCCGTTTGCAGTCAACTTTCCCCAATAACATGATCTAGATCACTCCAATGCAATCTATAAATGATTGCTATCTACCCAATAAAGGTCTTTTGTGAATCCCAGTTTCCCTCTAAGATACTAGGCGTTTGTCTGTCACTGAGTCTCAACACTGATATGAATGATAGACTCGTAATGAGTGCGGCATCGGATTGCCAGTCAAACTGGAATTGCTTTTCCCCTCACTAATGCAGTGAGATGCCGCCTTACATTGCCAGCTCACAAGTAGCTAACTCATTACTTAACGAGTTAACAAGAGAACCTGAGCCACTGAGCAAGTAGAGATCCGTGCCTTACCCGACAAGACCTATGAATGACTCTGCTCCACTTGTCAGATAGCATGCTGGAATCACACTGGGTGCGTCCCACCCACTCACTCTTGCAGGCCCTCTTTGTCCTGCGACATCGGGTATTCGAAGCACACGCTCGCTAACTATACTGGTCCGCTTCGTTTCTAGAGCCTTAGCGGGTTCTTGTCGACTGGATTGCCACAACCCATGGAGGTGGGCACATCTCCTCGTCTTCGAATCAAAGTTACTACCAACGGTGCATTGAGAGTGAGGCATTCAGAAGAGACCATAACAAAGGTGCCTTTCTATACGCCTTATCTGTCAAAATCAAAATAATGTCTCTCCTCTGAGGCCCTTGGTTTTGGGCAATCTTCCGAATTTGTGGCGAGAATGAGTGGTTGGCCTAGGCAAGACCCATATTCTGTCGCGGTGAAGCAGCTCTGCCTGCACCAGGGGATCCCCATTCATAACTGTTTGGATTCTGGACGCCGACAATGACATAGCACTGGCTGTATTGCAGGTTGCTCTTCCGTAAAAAGGTGCTGCCTGTCAAGATGCCGACTTAAAGCGCAGTGAGTAATTTTCGGTAGTCATTAACAGCTCGTTATGTTTGGGAATAAGACTGGGTCCGGTAGTAGTAGTTCCAAGGTGACAGTAGTGGGTTTCCCATATGGCAGAACATGGCTTATCGACGGACTGCACCCTGACTCGCTGAGAAACCCACATACACCACTTTAACTAACTCAGCGGATATTTCCAGCTTTGGCAGTCTGGAGCATCATGATTATTCCTCTGTGTGTGTGAAAAGGTGTCGGTACCTCCCCAGTCGTGAAGCAAGACAGTGACTGTAGGATCATACAGGCAGCAGATTCCGACCAATCATAGCCAGCATAGACCCTCGCTTACGCTAGCTCGTCCGGTGGGGCCCCGCCGCAGCACTATATAAGCTCAGCGCACCCGCCCTCCTTTTAGACATTTTCTTTCTTTTCTTCTCCATCCTGGTGCACGGGTTTTACACGTGTCAGTGAGGAGACATCCGAGACCGTGTTTTTGCTAGTTGAAAACTACCTAGTTTGACCGCTCTCCTTGGTCTTCGGATCGGGGAGGAATTTTTGAAAAAAAAGATGCCATGCCTCCAAATTTTGGAGGCGGTTAAGAGTGCGTAGACAGTCCTGCTGTTGCCCATTTGTTAGTTCATCTGGGTAGTACTCGAGATTGGTCTTCTTTTCACTGCTGTTGCCTCCCTTGAGGAGGCCTGGAGAGAAGAGAGCTTGATCACCTGTAAATGGATGTATTTATCTACTGCATGTCACTATTATTATTATAATAGACCCAAGATATCTGGTACATGTGAATCCAGTTCGCTGCGCATCCTTGACTCGGGCCGTTCTACTGGGGGTACTCCGGACTGGCAGACGCGTCCAGTGTCCGCCCACTCACCACGGCTTCTCCCGTAGGGCCCTTGTGGCAGTGCTGAGGAACGATTGAGTTGTGGCTGAATGCACCTAGGCAGCTGCGTTTCATGCAGAATTGATTGGTCTAGATGTAGTGTAGTGTTCTAGAATGGTAACAGCGTCCTCACGCTTACCCCCAAGGATCGTAAGACTTGCCCAAGTAGTATCACGCTTTCCTGTGTTCTGTCTATATGGAATTGAGACCTGCTAGTTTCGGATATACACTGTCCATCCCGTGGGGTCTGTTTGACCAGAGTGGCCCCCAAAAGTCAGGGCGATGATGGCTTAGCCGCTCACCGCTCCAGGCATGGTGGGAAACCCTTGTGACGTCGCCAACTGAACCTGCTGCAGATGCCGGGAACAACAACCACCTTTCGGCCAGACTTGTACTTCTACTTTCTCCTTCAATGATTTGACATGACATGGACAGCCCTTAGCCCGGCTTGTTAAGGCTCATAGCTTCTTCAACCTCGGATATGTTACAGTTCTTCCTTACCTCTGTACAATACGACAAGACCCCCGGAGGGTCAACGCTTCTGTCTCTTTCGCCTTTATTTGAGCACGGCCTCCTGGTTTCCTCTTCTTCGGATTTCTTGAACTCCCACGCACTTTCATAGTATTTAAATCACCCTCTAGACAGTCCTTATGTGTTAAGGAAATTGTTCCGTCTTCATCATGCCACCTCCCGCGACGCAGACAGGCGGCCAAGCTCCGCCTCCTTCGATAACCCCCCGCGAATTGGCAAAACACTCTATTAACACGAAAGATGTACAGCCTACACAGCTCGTTGGTTCTGAGGGACAGTCGCCACGGCATGGTCGCCAGAGACTCGTATTCACCGATCCGGTTGCCCTCCGATATCTCGAAGAGGATAAAGAAGCAGATTTGCTAGGTCGACGCTTGACTTTAGAAGGATATGAGGCATTCATTGTTGAACAATGGGCCTGCACGCGCATGCACCCCACCTTCATAATAACCACCTATACGGGGGATCCTTCGCACAAGGTCGTGGTGGGGGTGCTGAGCGTCCCCACAGACGAGTCTAGGTGGTCGCCCCGTATGAAGATGTACTTCGACGCAGTCAGGCAATGCCAGGCGCGGAAAAAGGAAACGCCATTGGGAACACTTATGGTTACCGACCTGAACGAGTTCCCATTGGCACTGACTCTCATTCCGGTACCCGACGGTGATGTTCTTAAACACAAGGAGGATTTTATTGTGAATGAAAACCTGAAACGGTTGGGCTGTTCAGGCCGCTCTGGTTTAAAGCTACAACCACCCTCACCCGCTACCGAGGGGAAGTTCCATCACCTTTACCGAACGAGCGAAAAGGTGCCTCTATACACTGCCGTCATAGAGCTTGTGAAGCAATGCCAGATCGCTCTGATGATGTTTGGCAATCTTGCTCCAGAGTACGTTGACGGACTGCTCTGTGATGTCACAGAAGCGGCCATAAATGATTGGTGGACCGAGACGGGTATGGACTTATACAACATTGAACCGAGTGATTCCATGTTGGGTCCTATCTCAGTAGCCGCGCTATTGGGTACACTCATGGGGGCGCGAAATCGGCTGCATGCTTTCGGCGCTCCGGTGGGTAAGGATGCGTTTGATATTGATAACCTGACGAAAGGCATCGGAAGCTTTCAAAAATCACAGAAACTGAAACGTACCCGAATATTAGATCGACAGACCTTAGATCGCCTGCACCGGGTGACAGCGAAAGCTGCGAATGCAGAAGGCTGGACCGATGCCGTGAAATCAACCATGGCAGAATTAAGCGGACACGGGGGAGAGATGGTCATGGGAATGGTCCGGGGCCGTGAAAAAGGCGGGATAGCTGATATCGAGACCCTCGATATTGATAACTTTGCACACCTGGTCACCGGTGAACGAGCAAAATGGCTGTGGAGGGGAAAGCCGCGAAAGGGCGGCATTGACGACAATGCACAGAGTGCAGATATCGTATTTACTACAGACGACCAGGGTGGCCATTTTTGGACGAGTCGAAAACGATCCTCGCACGAAGATCTAGTAGCAGACCGCGCACTGCAAAGCTCAGATCGTCCAGGGAGGCCGCCAGAATCAGCATCGTCCTTAGATGAGAAAGACCAAAATCTGGGCCGGTTAGTCCGAAAAGGGGTGAGCGAGAAAGTGTCAGACGCGCGGGCAGGATTTGGCCGGTTCAAGGATGCAGTAGGCCTCCGGTCCCATCCCCAGAAGCACTCTAGGGATGACATAGACCTTGGCGGTGACTCTACTCATTTGCCACCCATCGATAGCGACACAGAGGTGTCTCAGTCGAAGAAAACAGATGGTGGTGCTCCAGTCGGATCCGTGGATGTGCAGGACCATGAAGGTCAGGCCCCGAAGGATGACTCGCAGGTTGAATCTCCCCCAAGGACGATATTACCGCAATCACCCAAATCAAGAGCGCCAGCCATAACCGTAGAAACGGTTCCATCCCAGGCTGATTCGGAATCGTCGCGTAAGGTGTCAGTACCCCGAGCAGATGACGAAGCGCAGGACCTTGAGCGCTGGAGGACACTCTCCACCGACATTACCGTCGATCCTCGGGAGCAGACATCTGAAGTTGGTATTATGCTGCTGCGTCGACCGCAGAGCTGTATTGAACTGAACGTGGCGAGTGACTCCAGTCGTCTTGATAACTACTGGCCTCGCCATCTGTCCTTCAGCACTGTCGAAGAGGTGGTGCTGGGATGGAAGGATTTGGGAGGTGAGGCTTTCAAAGAGAAGCCCGATACTCTTCTGGAAGAGGCCATCATGCAAGAAGACATTCTGGCCTCAGATGCACGAATCTTCAGCTCACGTATCCAGGAGCTTAGTGAGCACACTGTGCCTTGGGTCGAGCAGCAAGTGTCCTCTGTAGATGATCTTAGCCGGTGCTTACACGAGAGCCACGAAAAGGTCAACGCTGCCTACCTGGAACGGCTGTCAACCTTTGAGCAGATGAGAGCTAGGTCGAGCGACCTGTTGACGGAAGAGCACAGCCAACTCACCGATTACATGAGGAGGGTCGAACTGATGGGCGCGAAGCTGGACTACGAGCTCCATGTTCTGGATTCACGTGTCGAGGATGTCGAAACCAACCTCGACGAGTTCGAACGGCATGTAAATGCCATCGAAAACAGAGTCAAGCTGCTGATACGGGGCGAGCACGAAAAGCAGGACAATTCCTGGTTCTCCTGGGTTAGGAGACTTACCGGATGCTCGACACAGTGACTGTGATGTCTTTTTTCCCAGAAAGAAGCCTTGTAGACATATATCATTTCTAATGTACATAATTTCCGAGATAGACTTGCGCAGTTCGCGTTGACCGTGCAATGCCAAAGACCCAGTCTTCGCTAACAGCAAACCCCCTTTCCAGAAGCAAACAACCTTGTATATCCATGTCCGAGCAGAAGTCATCCATCCCAATCAGCAAAATCCCAGGCCTTCCGCTCCCGTCAGTCAATCAATCAAGCCATAAGAGAGACCAAAGGAAAACAAGCCATCCAGAAGAGCAACCATGACAGATCTGAAACCCGAATAGATTATACATGTTTTATAGAAAAACAGAAAAAAGATCCAATTAGATGAACAATCGTTTCGTTGACCTCGCACTTTACATGCCGAAACCACCCATGCCGCCCTTCTGGTTCGCCTCACCCTGCATCTTCTCGCTGACCTTCATGTTGACTTCGAAGAACTTGCCAACACAGCGGTCAATGCAGACGGACTCGCCCTTGTTCAGGTCACCTTCACGGTAGTCGTTGGGGATGCACTTCTTGATGCAGGACTCGGTGAGACTGGTGGTCATGAGTGGGTTAGTTAAGTATATAAAGTGTCCGGGGAATAGGTAAAATGTTTGGCAGGAAAGGAATATGAGCGTTATGAATGGATAGACAGCATGATAATAAGTGAATCTTACCGGCTGAACATGTCGGTGACCATCTCAACTTCCGTCTCAGCCGCAGCAATCTTCTGTTCCGAGGAAAGCTTGGGGGCGCCGCCGAAGAGGAAAGACATGATGACGATGTGTAGTGAGAGTGGTGTTTTTGAGCTGGGTTCAACAGATTAGTAGCTAGTTTCAATATAATGCTGGCAATATCAGGAGCAAATCAGTCACTCACAAGTGAGAACAGAGTTTATCAATGTGTGTTACAAAGAGTATGAGTTGAATGCGCTGAACTGAGCTGCCGGAGCAGACCTGAAGTTGCCGGGATTCGAAGCTGGCGCTGCCGCTGCCGCTCCTCACCGCCTTAGGAATTTTCGCCGGATTTGCAACGCGTTATTTCCCGCACAACTTGGCTTTGTTCTTTTTCTCTTTCCTTCCTTTTCTCAATATGTGAGCACGTAGTAGTTCTCTTGTCACTCTCAATGCAACCAATTCGCCCGTTCAGGGCGTCGTCGTTGCGGGTTGGAGGTCTTTTGTCTAGGTAAGCAGTTTTATGTTTTGCTGTGTTTTTCACAATACCTCTCTTTATCCTGCACTTGCATGATGAGACATACCCTTCCAAATTACAGAACCGCTGCATTGAAGCTTGGGGGTTTATCTTCCAAGTTATGAGTAACAAGGAAGCTTTATGTCTTCTGATTTATCTTGTCTCTGCTATCATTTTGTATGGTATTTGTCTGTTAGACATCTTGCTAACGGCATGTTCAGGGCAGGACTTCCGATTTCCCGTACATCGCAGGCCTTTCAGACTTCTGGCAGGCTTGCTCGAGTAATACAGCACACTCATGCACCTCTGGTACAAACAAGGCATAACAGCGTCGATGCGTATCCTGAGAAGGCGTTCAAGAGGCGTGTGCAATTGATCGAAGAGGCTGTTGCTGAGTCGTATCCCCGGCTCGCGTCAAACAAGAACACGGTGAGCTGTGCGGAATTTCGTGGCCGCTACAGCCATCTAGCAGATAATGAAATAGTAGAGGATGATACAGTTGTTATTAATGGTAGGTCCTAGTTCTAGCCTAGCTGGCCCTACCATGTCGTCTCGTACTTAAATCAGTAGGTAGGGTACGTACCTTAAGACTTGTTGGAGGCAATTTGATATTCTTCGACTTAGTTCATGATGGCCATAAAATTCAAGTTATGTGCAATCGTCGTCGACTGAAGGATATCCCTCCGGCGACCTTCAAGCAGTTCTACCGGATGCTTCGGCGTGGCGATGCCTTCTGTATGTTTCACCAGCCGCTCCTTAGTATTCTGCTCTAGACTGAACGATATCCTATAGCCGTAACGGGTAATCCTCACCGGACTGAACGAGGTGAACTCACTGTTCTGGCGACCGAATTACCGCAGCTTCTGTCGCCCTGTCTGCATGATATTCCCGTTGATGCCCAAGGGCAGGAGAATTCGCCGTACCCTCGACATGTTCAATTCCTTGCGGACCCGGAGACAGTAAATGTCATCAGAGCTAGATCGGCAGTTGTCCAATATCTTCGCCAATTCTTTGTCGACCGCTCTTTTATGGAGGTTAATACGCCTATTATCGAAGCTGTTGCTGGCGGTGCAATTGCTCGTCCATTTCATACTACGGCCACCGAGTTTCCGGATCGCCAATTGTCGTTACGGATTGCGCCGGAACTCTGGCTAAAGAGGTTGGTGGTAGGAGGGTTTGACCGGGTTTTTGAGATTGGACCTTCGTTCCGCAATGAAGGTATTAGTCTTCAGTCGAAGTGTTTGAACGAAAACTGACAATTTGTGACAGGCCTTGACAAAACCCACAACCCCGAGTTCACCACTTGCGAGTTCTACCACGCCTACGCCAACCTGGAGGATCTCATGACCACAACCGAGCAGCTACTTTCGGGACTGGCTGAACACCTTACAGCATTCCACCAATCGTCACCCTTCAAGAGGCCTAATCAGGAAGACACACCTCTGCCGTTCTCCCATCTCAATTTCTCTGCACCCTTCCGCCGACTCGACTTCATCACCTCCATTGAGCAGAGCATCGGGCAGAAACTGCCAGACCTCGCATCTCCCGATGCTCTCGAGCAGGTGAAGGCGGTCTTCCGTGACCGCAATCATGCACTTCCAGATAAAGTGACCCTCCCCCGGCTGCTGGACGAGCTCTGCAGCATCTACGTCGAACCTCAGTGCATCGACCCAACCTTCATCGTTAACCCGCCGGAGTGCTTATCACCGTTGTCTAAGTCCTTCATCCACTCCACCACCAACCAGCGCGTCGCCGCCCGCGGAGAGCTTTTCATCGAGGGCCGCGAAGTCGTGAACACATACGAAGAGGAGAATTCGCCGTTCGAACAGCGTCGCAAGTTTGAAGACCAGGTTCGGTACAGCAAGCAGGCTGACGAGGCGGAAGAGATCGACGAGAGCTACTTGAAGGCGCTGGAATGGGGTCTCCCTCCGACTGGCGGCTGGGGATGCGGTATCGACCGTCTCTGCATGCTGTTCACGGGCATGACGAGAATCGGGGACATTCTGCCTTTTGGCAACTTGCGCAAAGTGACCACGCGTGCTGATGCAGCGGCCGAGAGTCAGGCTGCCGAAGGGAAAGAAAACTAGACGGCGTTTAGTGAATGGGAAGACACGATGACGCGTCTTGCGGCGGCACTCTCATTGGCCCGTTGCAGGCGAGTGGATTTTCGCGATTCTTGCAAGATCTCGTCTTGAGTGTCTTTTGAACGTTCAGTCCTGCAGACTTTACTGGACTGCTCGACTGCTGAGCTGGAGACCCAAATGGGGTCAGACCGACTCCAACTGCAGCTATGAGCAAGCTGCCTGTACATTACATGAATTTCTATGCTATAGTAACCACACAACCCACATCTTCATTGTACATATCCACAGCCCAGAAATCACAACTCTCAACTGAATCCAACATCCACCTCTTCATATTCCATCCATTCGGCCGATGTCATCCGATAAGAAGCGCCGATAAGCACGATTGACCGGCGCGGGCCGAGGGCCTCCATCATCCCACCTGCAATCTTTTCCCCTCATTATCTCCTCTTCACCACCAACACTCTTACAACAACAAAACCACCATCATTAATACCAACACCAACAATGGCTCTCGACGACATACCCGTAGCGCAAGCTGTCACCGTCAGCCTGCAAGAGCTAATCGACGGTACGTCCACCTAATCCCCACTCGACACTCAAAGCTACAAAAAAAATAAATCTGAACCACTCCAAAACACATCTTATCTCGCCCAACTAACAACTCATTTTCAACAAAACAACAGGCACAATATCCCCCCAAACCCTAACGGCAGCCTTCGGCCCCTCCTCCCTGGGCATAATCCTTGTCAAAGATCTCCCCCCAACCTTCTCCCACCTGCGCGCCCAAGTCCTCTCCAACGCCTCCTACCTCGCCTCTCTGCCCCCCAGCGCCCTCGACTCCCTAACTTGCCCCTCCGCAAAATACCTCATCGGCTGGTCCCTGGGCAAAGAAACCCTCCGCGACGGCCACTACGACACCCACAAGGGCTCCTACTACCTCAACTGCGCCTTCTACAAAGACCCTTCCCTGCAGGGCGCCCCCTCCATCGACGCAGAGTTCCCCGAGTACACTTCCCCGAATATCTGGCCTAGCGAGACGGATCTCCCTACCTTTAGGAGCAGCTTTGAGCAGCTGTGTACATTGATCATTGATACGGCGGCGTTGGTGGCCAGAGCGTGTGATCGCTTCGCGGTGGAGAGTGTGGATGGGTATAAAGATGGGTATTTGGAGAAAGTGGTGAGGGGGAGTTTTACGACTAAGGCAAGGTTGTTGCATTATTTTCCTACTGAAGATTCCTCCTCCTCTACAGTATCTACTGGGGGGGAAGAAGGGGCTGAGGATAATGATGATGACTGGTGCGCCACACACCTCGACCACGGATGTCTGACGGGCCTCACGTCCGCGATGTTCGTCGATGAAGAAGCGCATGATCCCTCCTCCTTGGAAGATAAATCCGTTCCGTTGCCGGAACTCACTACCTCGCCGGATCCGAAGGCCGGGTTGTATATCCGCTCCAGGACGGGCCAGGTCGTCAAGGTGAATATACCGAAGGATTGTCTTGCGTTTCAGACGGGTGAGGCGCTGCAGCTTATTACGAAGGGGCAGTTCCGTGCTGTGCCGCATTTCGTGAAGGGAGCGAGGGGAGTCGGTAAGGTGGCGAGGAATACGTTAGCTGTGTTTACGCAGCCGAATTTGGAGGAGGAGGTGCAGGAGGGGGTTACGTTTGGGGATTTTGCCAGGGGGGTGGTGGAGAAGACGTCGAAATAGGATTGAGTGTGTATAGTTTAGTTCATTGCATTGGAGTAGCTTGCTAGCGAGCTTTTGGTATCTTCTTGAATATAGTACAGTCCAGCTCAATCAATCATCATGTCTTACCCGCTTCCGCTCCCTCTCCCTCTCCTTATCAGGCACATAGTCCCCCTCCTCTGTTTCCTCTGTCCCACCTCGCAGCTGGTCCATCCGTAGCGTGAAGTCTTCCTCTTCCTCTTCCGATTCTTCTTCCTCCTCCTCCTCATCATCATCACCAACCGACAACCGACTCGTCCCCTCCTCCGCCTCACTAACAGGATTACTCAAATCTGCACTCCCCAACCCCGTACTAACAAGCTTACTGAGCTTCCCTACCTTCGCAAAATTCGACCTCGACTTCGTCGACGGCCGCCCCACATCCCCAGGTATCTTCGCCTCCCTGAAATCCGCCGGTCTCGCCACCCCATCCAGCACGCGGAGATTAGCCCGCCACATCTTCACGTCCCTGGCGTCGCTATAATGCCCTACATCCTCGCCATTCAGTGAGTCAATCGCAAGCGTCTGCGTGCGGAAATCGCCCCAGAACCATTTCTGCCCCTCCGGGATACGCTCGTCGGCTTGGCGGGAGTACGCCCGTCCGCGAAGCACCCCTTGCAGGTCATATCCGAGTGCCAGGGATCCGAACATGAGTTGCAGTGCGTCTGGTTCGTAGAGCCGGCCGAGAATCATGTCCTGGGATATGTCGACAGAGGCGCCGGGGTGCATGCGGTACCAGTCGCCGTAGCCGCTCATGCCGACGTAGTTGAAGGCGGAGACGACTTCGTCTGGGGTGAGGGGTTTGATGGGGTGGAGGGTGTTGCTGGAGAGGTAGATGCGGCGGTCGCTGGAGGTGTAGACCTTGCCGCGGATGCGGACGGTGTATTTCTCCGCGAGATGTTTGGATTTAAGGGCTGAGTCGCAGTTTTTGAGGTCGAGGCGGATCTCGTCGATTACCATTATGTCGGTGACGGTAGGGTTGGGGGTGGAATGGTGGTTGTTGAGGTTGTTGAAGTTGTAGTTCTGGGGTTTTAGGCGGACGGCGTCGCCGATGGTGAGGAGCTCGGCGCCGATGAATATCCCCCGGCTGTAGATGGATGCGTCGGGCCAGACACCTTTGAAGTGGTATTTGTCTAGGAGGCTGAAGGAGGACATGATGGTCATGGCGTATTCGATGGAGGGGTGGAGGTTCTCGCGAGGGATGTTTTGGAGGAAGTGCTCGTAGGCGTTGAACGGCTTGATGGATTTAAAGTAGACGTATTTGTAGTGCAGGGAGTAGCTCTTGTCGGGACTGTGAGGGTCAGGGAAGGTTTCGACGCGGAATCCTGAGTAGTTGATGCTCTGTTCTTTGGGGGATGTTTGAACAATGTCTTGGAAGATGGTGTCTTCTTCGGGGACCTGACTGACGATACCTGCTCGCCATTCAGGAGTGCCCAGCCATCGTTTCTCGCTGGGAAAGTATATTTGGATCTGATTGTTCTCAGGGTTCCAGGCTAGTTCGCCTTCGAAATCTGGCGTCCAGAGCACGACTTCTCCAGCACGGGGCAGAAAGGACGGTTGCAAGTCCAATTTCTGGATGTATTCGTCAAGTGGTGAACGCTCGGCTCGCCAGTCCATGCTTCCGGGTTCTGTGATGTCCGTCTCCTGTAGCCCTTTTAGCTCGAGCTGTAGCACAGCCATCTTGAAGACGTCTGGCGTTCCCTCGTTATCTGTACAAGGGCATGTCGCCGATCCTGAAAGCTTTCCTGGAGGCCTGCCAGGAGGTCTACCAGGGGGCCTACCAGGGGGTCTTCCGGGTCTTCCTGGTGGTCGTCCGGGTGGCCTTCCGGGTGGTTTGCTTGCGCTTGATCCGGGAGGTCGGCCAGGTGGCCTCCCCGGCGGCCTACCAGGGGTTCGAATAGGCGTTCCAGTTCCAGAAGGTCTCCCCCGAGGCCTTCCAGGACCTCGCTTTTCTGAGCCACCTTCTGTGTATTGCTGTCAGCATTGCACTAGAAGCCTGGATAACCATGGAAACATACCTTGTAGCCTCTTTGACATTTTCTCGCAGAGAACGCAGGCGCATGGTTCTTGGCCACCCGTCATCAGGTAATAGAAATGCGGAAAAAACTGCTTCGTGGAGTTGAAATACACATCTGTTGGATGGCCATAGAGGAAACGGTCGTACTGCAAAGAGTTAGGGATATGAATGCGCTTGAGAGTAGAGCGCGAAAAAACCTACAATATCGGGGTTTGCCATACGAGGCCTGTCAAATAGAGCATAACCATCAGGCAGACTGTCCAGGATGTATTCTACTCCTAAAAGCAGGGTTAGTGAGGTGAAAATGCAAATATGTATTCAATATGCTAACAAATACAGCGACATGGCTCTTTTCCTTTCAATCCAAAGCATATCGACTAACGTTGGCCTCCACATGATGGTACAATTAGGTATAAGATGCGCCAAACATCTCATTATGGATCCCAAGTACATAGTCCGGAAGGAGTATTGGAGAGGTAAATCACGAACAAGCTCAACAGCAGCCGTGCGAAGATGTAGAGTGCTCGATCGAAGTAAAATAAGGTCAAAGTAAATCATGCGATCAACGTACCACGCTCATAAGCTCCCGTCTTTTGCAGCCACATCGAGGCCAGCTTCTCTCGATAGTAACTATCGTCTGGTCTCAGGAACCTCTCATCTTTGGGCCAGTTGTCCTGGGTGCCGTCGCTGAATGCGCGATTGATTGGAATTACGACCATTTTTTGCTGGTCTGATGCAGATGAGTCTTGCATAATGACTGACATTATAGCAGAAGGGGCGTGTTTCCCCTGCAGGAGTAGTTAAACTTAGATAAGATTGAAAATAAGAGCTGGGTATAAGCTGTGATTAGTCTGCACGCAGAAGGCACATCATGGGTTGGAAGGAACACGTGACAGGAACACTGAGTTAGAAGAAGTGGGAAAACTAAAGGGTAAAAATTCAGGAGGAAAGGAGACAAAAAGAAAGCTATGCAGCATTGATGATAGTTGAAATGAATGCATGGGACGAGAACAGGATCCGCTCTGCCGCCGTGGGTGACGGTCATGTGACTCTACAGATGGGTAAATCACCAACACAGCTTCACAATAACATGTCAATCTATTTCCATCATCCAAAAGTCTAGGTACAGATTCACCCGGACGCTAGGCCAACATGAATTGAAAACGAAACAGTGGTCAGTGGTCAGTGGTCACGGCCTCAACCAACCTGATCTGAAGTGTAGGAGAGCCTACTGCTGGTCATCCTGTACCTCAACTGCTTCCGACTCTGATCCATAGGGTGGTGGAGCAAGCTCTCCTTCTTCAACCCAGACTTTGCGTAGCTCGTTTTCAATCTCCTCCCGACGCTGTTTCCACTCTTCCACCTTGTCAAGCCGCTTTCGTATCTCCTGCAGCTCCTTCTCTACTCCCAGCTTCTCTTTGGCGGTGCCGATTCTCTCGAACTCCCATTGCTCACCCTCTTCGCCAATACTAATGCTAAGGTTATATGTGTGGTACTTCTTCAGCGACGCGCGTGTGGAGATCGTGATCACAGTTATTCCCCGCTCCTTTGCCCGTTGATACAGCAGGCCCTCGACGTCAGAAGAGACCGCTGAGGTTCCTTCATCGAGGAAAGCATAGCGAGGCTCGTGGTAGTAAATTCGTGCCAAAGCCATGCGTTGCTTCTCTCCTCCGCTCAAAACGTCCTTCCACTCCTTGCGAGTGTCCCATCCGCCCTCCCGCCCAGGGAGGTAGCCCAGATGAGCGTCGTCCAGAATTTTCTGCAGTGCAGCATCGGTTATGCCTGCCTCGTGCATGTCGACTGCAGTGTGAGGGTAGATTACTTGATCGCGGAGAGTCCCCACGCTGAGATAGGGCCGCTGGGGAAGGAACATGATGCCGTCAAGCCCAAACCCTCTTGGGCGACTGACCAAACCGCGGTACACTGGCCACAATCCTGATACAACCCGGGCAATAGCAGTCTTGCCGACGCCATTCGGTCCAGATATCAGGAGATGGTCGCCGGAGTGCACGACGAATGACAGCGACTCGATCAGATCATCGCCGCCCCGGGGGTATATAGAAGGTGCGACGATGGGAACTTGTTCAAGACGTACACCATCAAATCCGTTATGAATCGTCCCTTGTACATCCGCGAGGGAATATAGCTCTGCATGGGAATTGCGTGGAGGGTAGTAGGCACTTGCATGCACTCGGTGGAGCGTGGATATCAAGCTGTAGACCCGAGACGTGTACCCAGCCAGCTCCGAGATGTCCTTGATACTATACATCATCCGGCCACCCGCATCCGCCAAAGACAGCATCAGACGTTTGTTCGTAATAAACTCCTTCATGCGATCGCGTTCTCGACCAGTCTCCTTTGGCATGTCCACCAGCTCTAGGGCACCACCCATGCCGCCCCAGGCTGGAAGGAATATTGGCAGGGACGTGATCAGGTAGCCAAACGCAGACCAAGCGTATTTCAGGATGACGTCTTCTAACATGTTGTAGCGGATCTTGAGACTGTAAATACCCTCCATCCAGCGCTGGAGATCTTTGAAGCTTCTCATTAGGAAAACCCTTTCGATGTCTGCACCGCCATAGAAAGAAATCTCCTCAGCATTGGCGAGTAACCTTGAATGTAGACCCCGGAAGTCACCCTCTTTCTTCCCCTCGACAGCCTTTAGCTTTCCGAATGGTGGCGAGAGTTTCCTCAGAAATGCTGCGGTACTGAAGTAACCCGTGAGAATACCCGTAAGCGCCAAAGGCCCGAGAGAACGGTACAATTGATAATTAAACACGAATAGGTCCACCATAGGCTTCCCCATGGACGAATATAAAGCGGCTGCTGCAGAACAGAAGAGGGTAAGGTCTTGGGTAATGAACTGGTCTGGTGCTTGGCCAACACCGCCATCCAGATTCATCAACTTGTAGTAGTTGTTGTCGCCAGTAAGATAAAGATCGTGGATATATCTCGTTAGTCGGGTCCGGAACGCAATAGACACCTTTGATTGGAGAAACTTGATCATGGCATTGGTGTAGGAAGCCAGGGTGCCAATGCCGCACCATTTGAGAATGCCCCAAGCGAAAGCGCGCCCTTTGCCAGCGACAAGATCCCTCACAATCTCGCCGTCCAGTCGTGCGATCAGTAGAGATAGGTACGTCCGCAAGAGCAAGAAAACCCCATGGCCCATCAATAATCCTGTTTCTTTGCTGCCCCATCTCGGGACCATAATACTCCCAAGACTGAGAAATTGATGAAGAAATGCCAAATTGATCCCTGGCTTTGTGGTTGGCGGCGGTATTTGATTCACTGATTCTCCGTCGCCGACACGAGCGGCAGCAGGTGGGTTCAAGAACAATCGCCGATGCGCATCGAAAGTCGTTTGTTTGGTCGGATGAATCACAACCTTGGAGGTCATGGAGCCCTTATAGGGCACATAGATGGTACGAGTGCCATCTTTGCCTCGAATCCCGGAATTCCGACGCAGCAGCTGTCTTCCTCGTGCACGTTCTTTAGCCCTTTCCCTGA